GATAGTCTAACTACCAACTGAATTTGAGTTTTTACATAACAGCCCGGGTTTGCCAGATATACAGATTTATCGGTATTTGTATCGATTTTCGAACTTGATACCGATATACAGATAAGGCTCCTCAGGATACCGATTTTTTAGATTTTATGCCGATTTAAACCGATTTTTGAATAAACACAGTTATTAATGCCTACCTGCGCTCAAATGTCAGAGAAAACTTTTACCGTTCTGAATATGGTCAAATAATAATTCATTAAAAAAATCATAGAGAGAATGCATTATGTCCGTCACGCTCTAATAGAGGAGAGGCTTAAAAATGTGTGACAAACAACCCAATTAACATTGAAAGCTGAATAAGGACTTATTTAGGCAAAAATATGCTGCTTCAGCTAAAAAATAGCTTATTCAGCTTTTAATCAGCTCAAATTGTTTGTTGGGAATGTATTAGGTATAGGAAGAACGTGACAAAAGGGGGGGAGGGGAGGGGTTTGGCTACGTTCTTAATGTATGCTAGCTTATGCTTGATACTCTTTCGACTAGTGTTTCCATTTTGTCGCTTGTTTGGCTTCCCAAAAATCGTGAAACAGCTAATGGCTCATCTCGGTAATTCCTGGGAATCGGGAAATACTTTTGTCTTTTATGTCACTAAAAAGATCCCTTATTAAATCTTTCCTTAGTAGTTTCTTAAAATTTTCCCCAGGAATTTTCTTTCACCTTAGTTACTTACCAATTCCTCCCGGTAAGTTGTTTCGATTTTCCTCGGGAGCTTCGCTCGAAAGGTTCTTCCATTTTCTCCCGCCAGTTTTTGTCTAACTTCCCGCGAAATATTTTGCTAACTTTCCCCTGATGATTCTACCGATTTTCACCGGAAATTTATTTCGATATCTCCAAAAAGTCTCTTTCTTTTGGAATTTTTAGCCCGGCAAATTTATTCCAGGAAATCTCTTTCAACTTTCGGAAGTATCATCGAATTCTCCCAGAAGTTTATTTAGTCTTCCGTTTCTCCATAAGCTTCTGCTGGAGTTTTTTTTTTTTCGATTATTGGAAAGTTTTTCCAAGCTTCTTCTAGCTTTACCTGGAAATGGTCTCTCCTGGAATTTTTTTTCCAATTTCCGTAACCTTTCTGGTTTTCTCATTATTTTTCTAGGAAGTTCCCTGAATATTTTTCCGACTTTTATAAGAACTTTCTTTAAAATTCCTCCGGCTTCCTTCAGAAGCTAATTCAAAGATTCCCTGGAAATTTCTCCCAACTTTCCTGGAAAGGTTTGTTTTAAATAGAGGTATGACTCTAAGATTTTCCCAGCTAACAAAAAAACAGTCCAATCCACTCCAATATGAAATATCCCTTTACAAAGTCTATGCATCATTCGTGGATTGGTTTGTACTGGATGTTTTAGCCTCGAATATCTTAGAGTCATACCCCTAGCTTCTTAGGTCAAACGTTAAAATATTCGCCTTCGAAAAAGGCAAAAATATAAAATTTATTACAATAGTAAATACCGATTTTTAAACCATCTTCTTCTTTTTATTCGCATTTCAAGCTTATTGCTTAGTGTATATTAGCTTATTGCGTGCTCTCAACTTAGTGTTCTAAATGCACTTCCACAGTTATTAATTGAGAGCTTTCGATACCAATACCAATGCATGAATTTGTATATTGTGTGGCAAGCACAATGATACTCTATGCCCAGGAAAATCGAGAAAATTTCCAACCCGAAAAGATTCCCTCGACCGGACCGGGAATCAAACCCGCCGCCTTCGGCTTGGTAATACCGTGTCATTACTGACTAGGCTATGAGGCCCCTATGAAAAACCTTTGATACAGCATTCTCTTCATCAAGGCAACCTCTGAGTATCACAGTCAACATTTGGTTTTGTATACAGGGGTAAGAGGGGCATAGTGAACAGGTGGGGCATAGTGAGCATCCCGTGCACCAGCTTGAACTTCCGGCCGTTTGGAACCAATTTATTGGTGGTAGGATCAAGATTATAATGATATTGAACCTACTACCAGTTGATTTGTTTCATTCAGCTAGAGATCCAGGGTCAAACTGCGGGATGCTCACTATGCCCCACCTGTTCACTATGCCCCTCCTCCCCCTACATTATAACAATTCACACCGATACACACTGAACACAGTGTACAGTGGGCCAGATCAGCAACCTAGGTTTACAAAATAATTGACTCCTCGGGATGACGTCGTAACGGTTTGATATCTGCAACGAAGTTGCTTAGCTATGTAAGGCTTAACTTGTGGTTGCAAGTTTTTAGATCAGTGGATTTACTATTAGTCAGTTCTGCTTTTTCTATTTTGTATCTTTTATTGACCTTAACATATGTTTTTTTTTCCTTTGTTCGGGACATAAAACCACTGCGACCAGTTATTTGATCTATTGTAGTATATCTCGTGTTCAATTATTGAGAAATGACGAAGAATCCAGTTTTGATAGAGTTGTCCTTCTTGTTTCCATCGAATGGAACAGATTAAAATTGGAAGGTCCCGGTATTTACACCCTTTGAAGAGTTAGAGCACTCTCCAATGGCGCGCCCTTTTGATGGTCAATCAGATTCCTGAGCAACATAATAAATAAATAACATCGATATTGACCATATATCCGGACCCTAGTCTCAACCACTTCAAACTAGAGCACAAGATGATGCTGAAGATGAATACTAACTAACTCATTTTTTCCTTGTTTTAAGATCATCCTCGGTAGACAAAGCCGAGTCTTGTCACTATCAACAAGGCATAAAAAGTAACAAGGACTAAGATGTGTTCCTTTGATTACTGAAAAATCCTGTTCTCCTTGTTTGAAGTTGGACTAGGGTTCGGTGCTCGCACCACGAAAAGAGTATATATCAATGTTACTGGTTGGCTTCAAGTTTCTCTAATAAAAATAACCAAAAGAAAAAAAACCATTTGTGGGATAGTTCTACCTTTCGGGCTACCGTTCGTTTATGGTATTTGTGTCTTAGGGTTACGCTGAATAAAGCTGCTTTTGTACAACTTTTGATATATTTAATACAGCATAAAATCAAGTTTTAGCGTTTTTTTTTTATTTCATTACATATGGTTTGGTGGATTATTTTCAGCGCAAGAGTCAACTTTGGTGCAAAATGCACAATAAATATTTTTAGAAAATTCGGTAAAAATTGTAGATATTCGAAATCCAAAATATTTGGTAAGCACAAGTTTGCAGTCAAAAATAACTAAACTTTCTAAAAATCTCTGAAAACTCGTAAACGTAATCATATATATTTTTTTTCCAGTTTTTTATTAATTCCATCTAGTTTTGGTGAGAAAGGTTTCCACAGAATAGTTTTTGTTTTGTTTTCTAAAAATTGCCGAAAATATTCAACTCGAACGTAACTGTTCAACATAAATGCTGCCAACAACTTTTCTAGTTATTTGTTACAATCTAATTTTAGGTGAATATTAATCCAATTAGGCTGATGCAAATTTTTAATTTTATTTTATGTCACTCCTCCAATATAGTAGGGGCAAAATAATATTTTAACCAAAATCGTCACTACACTTCACTAAATGAATTGTGTACACACATTAAATTAACATAAAATGAAAGTAGATATTTGCATCGGCCTAATTGACACAACTTAACTGTTAACCGTTTATGTTTTACTATGACCAAGATACTAACCAACTCTGATTTTGTTAAATCTCAACCAAAACAACTGAATACTTTTGGATGTGAACAACACGAAACCAAGTCAAACCTAAAAGCTTATTGAAATAAAATCTGAACAAAGAACTCACCCATATTTACACAATATAACGGAAAATCAGAAACAAAATTGCATAAAAAAAAAGCAAAAAGAGAGAGACTTTAAATCCAACAAATTATTTTTCTACAGGCTCTATATGGACATATTTTTGATACATAATCCATGGGAATAGTGGCGCAAGCTCGGAAATTAGTTAAGTATCGAAGAGAGAAGCACGTTTTGTATGAGTGAAAGATGACAAGCCGAAAACGAATAATTTTTAATGGTGGAAACGAAATGAGTACTTGATCGTGAGGATCGAAAACTAAAATCAAGTATTAATTCATAACTACTACTCAATCGAAGCGTAATTTAAGGGCATAATGGAAATCCAAGAAAAAAAAAACAACTATCTCGTGTCATTTTAATCACATTAAAAACCGTAGGAACATTGTCCAACATGAATTTGTAGCTTACAACTCGGAGCTGTTGGATGCATATAACGTTTAACTGCAGATTAATCAGGAGAAAAATCACATCCCTCGGAGGAATTCCAAAATAACACGCTTAAATGGCAAGTTTCTCAAAATTTCGGTATATTTTTTGAGCAAGTTGAACGAACGTGCAGAACACTGCTGACAACAATACATAAATTATGCGATTGCGATAGCAGAATATTTTGTAGTTTTATTGTTGCTATTGAAGAAGGCATAGTAGAAAGCAGTAGAACATTACTCTAAATCGAAGCGTTTTGAATTACCATTTTCGGTTATTCTCGGAGATATAGTTACGTGACAACAACAGAATCGCTTAGATTGAAGCCACCGAGCAAAATGATTATCGCATCAACATGAACAACAGTAGCAGAGGAGACAGAAAAGTGTTTATTATTCAATTACACACATGACGATAATAAAGAAAATAAAACGAATCAAAATAAAACATCTGTTGCATTCACTCGCTCAAAATGTTTCACAATCCCTTCGCTCGTTCTCTCTTCATCGATACCGTACACTTGACCTTGCGACTTGTCGCGTTTGTTATCATGCCGCTGTTCAATGAGCACGTGTTTGCTTTACATGTACTGGTGTTGTTTACGTTCTCTTCGTCGAAAACCTGTTGATGTTCTCTCACTCTCTTGCTCGGTGGATCCGTTTCCTCGATGAAACCGCCGCCATTATTACTATGGCAACGTTTCGATGTAAACAATCAACTACAGCGGTCGCTCGTCTGGTGAAAAAATTGTTTCAAGTGAAAATTCTTGCCTTTTGAAGATGCAATACGTAGTTTTGCTTAAAGATTGATTAAAACAGAGTGGAAAATGTTTATCTATTTGAGTAAGAAGGTAAGATTGATGCGATAAGTGGTATTTTTGCTAGAATTTACGGAATAACGCTTGAGGCATCAGAGGAGTACCGTTATTATTTCTGCAAACGGTGCTTAGTGAAACGTAATCCGTTGAACAGTTTTCTTTGATTGTGATATTCAACCAGGGGGAACGACACTCAATTGGATGTATTTTTTCAGTCTAGTAATTACTTGGGATTTCCGGGGAAAAACATAATTGATGGGATTTTTTTGAGTGTGTCATGTTGACGAAAATAGAGCAGGGATAGAAAAAAATAGATGGGAATAGATCTGGGAATGGATGTGATGTGAGGGGTGTTAAAATTAAAGCCCTACAGTAAAAGTATGGACGACTGTCACCACAAAACTGAAAAAAGCTGTTCCAATCGAGCAAAGCGGTGCATTTTGACGGTTCGATTGGAACAACTTTTGACAGACGTCCATACTTTTATTGTAGGGCTTTAGTTAAAATGTTTCAGAGGGATACGAGTCTGAACGCGAAGAGGATAGGTGTAAAAAGAAGATAAAACTTAGCTGGAAGGCAGCGTCCATAAATTACGTAACGCTTATAGGGGTAGAGGGGGTCACCTATATCGTTACGAATAATTACATAGGGGAGGAGGAGTAATTATTGTAAAGTTTGAAAATACAGGTAAAAAAATTTCATCACTAAATCTTGCTTGCAAGATGCATATGTTTTTATTTTTATATCTTGAGATTTTTGCTATTCTTAAACTACGCTGATATTTTGTTTTTATTTTGAAAATTAATACAATTACCTAGAAATAAAAAAAGGCATAACGAAATCAAAAAAATAAATGGTGGCTTTTAGAGCGTCACGGAATAAATAGAGGGGGATCATTTTCAGTGTTACATTTTGATCCAAGAGGGGGGGTCGAACATATTTATTTTTGTCGTTACGCAATCAATGGTCACCGCCCAACAATATTAACCAAAGCTCACAGCTCAAGTGCAGAAAACGTTTCCGTACCGAATAGGTCGAAACCGTACTGTAGGAGGAACGGGTGGCGGCGATGGATCACTAGGATCCGGTTAATACTCCCAGCTGACGGATTTTAATTCGCAATATTCTCGAACAGAAACTCCATTAGCCGGTGAGTGTTTTCCTTCGCCATTAGCTCTTTCTTCTCCGAACCAACAGCAGCGGGCCGAGTGGAAAAAATGACCTGAGTTCCTTTTCCACCTGTTTGTCGCATCGTTTTATTGGTGATGCTTTTCCCGGGCCTAGAATCAACTGTTCGAACGAAATCAACAGTTGTTTTGTGCCTGTTCGGCAACTTCCATGCTACAACAAAGAGACACCTGGGCTCTTATCCATCGAATTCGATCGGTTTGAGTCCGAGAAATGGATGTGCGTTGCCGTCTTTTCCGTGATGCACTTGATGTGTTTACCCCCGCGACCGATTATGGCCAACTGACATACGTGGTGTTTGTTGTTGAGATTGTTGAAAACTGACAGTAACTGGCAGAGTGCTTCGCGGTCTTCCTGAAAACTTCGAAAAACTGCACGGCTTGCTTGACAATTTGTGTGCATGCAGAAGGGATAAGTTGGGATTAGAAAGAATAGATAGGATGGATTGAAATTTTGTGCACGTTGAAAATGTTATGAGAGGTTTGGGTAAAAATGGGATAATCCTGAAGTGTCGTTCCCCCTGTATTCAACTGATAACCAATGATCATTTCCAATACGATTAATTTTTAATAGATCGCAATTCCTAACAATACCCGTCTCAACTGCATAGCATGGAACAAAGAACAGGGCTACGTCGCAGTTGGGGGAGAAGATGGCTTGCTGAAGGTTTTGAAATTGGAACAAGCTACGGCTAGCACGGTCCAGTCTGGAAAGGCACTGCAACCTTCAAATCTGTCCATGAACCAAACTTTGGAAGGACACAAATCATCGATTCATGTCGTTACGTGGAACGAATCGCAGCAGAAGCTCACTTCATCCGACAAGGATGGGGTCATCATGGTTTGGATGATGTACAAAGGTTCATGGTACGAAGAGATGACCAATGATAGGAAGAAATCAACTGTAAAAGGAATGGCATGGACCAGTGACGGGCAGAAGATTTGTATTGTATACGATGACGGAACTGTTATTGTTGGTATGGTAGTCGTAATTTTATGTTGCATATGGAAGGTAATTAAGCTTGTACAATTTCAGGATCGGTGGATGGAAATCGAATATGGGGAAAAGATCTCAAAAATGTGTCCTTAACGGGTGTGCAATGGAGCCCAGATGGTAGGCTGTTGTTATTCAGCATTAAAACAGGGGAGCTCCATCTCTATGACAACCAAGGAATTTTTGTGATGAAATTGAACATTCAGTGCGTCTATATTACGCCTTCAAAAAGCATAACTGTAGTAGGGTTGTGCTGGTATCATGAAGCAGTTTCGACTAATCGGCCGGTACTTGCTGTTTGTTATGAAAATGGTAAAATGCAGATCATGAGGAATGAAAACGATGATATTCCCGTGGTTGTCGATACCAATATGCAGGCTATATCTTGTATGTGGAACCACGACGGTACTATAATCGCTGTTTGCGGAATGAAAACTAGTCTCAATGACAAGGAAAGCAATCAGGTTCAGTTCTACACACCGTACGGAGTGGTAAGTAGTTTCAAATTTCACTCATGTTCTCAAGTATGATTGTTCATTTTTTTTTCAGCACATCAGAACTTTAAAAATTCCCGGCAAAGAAATAACGTCTCTATCGTGGGAAGGCAAGTCACTTCGAATAGCATTGTCCGTAGATTCGTTCATATATTTTGCCAACATCCGTCCGGACTACACCTGGTGTTACTTCAATAAGACCGTTTGCTTCTTGGAGGCAACAAAAAATGAAGAAACATCGATTGTTTCGTTTTGGGATACCAATTCAAATCAATGCTATTCGAAGAATGTGGATCCCATTATTGCTATGGCGGCAACGACCGACCATTGCGTACTAGCAGTGGAGACTAAAATCAGTGCTAAAGAATTCAGTTTTATGAGTGACAGCAAAAGCAAGGATTATATGTACCAATTATTGGTTTGCAATTCTATCAGTACCACTGTGGATTGTGAGTAGTTCCATTTCTTAGGTCAGGAAGCATTAATTCATGAAAATTCTAAATTTTAGCAAAATATGTAGACATCAGACCCAATTTCATTGCTATGAACTCGACACACGTGATTGTTGCTTCTAAGGATCAATTTTTGCTGTGGCATTATCATACTCCAAAAGTAAGGTTTCGTTTTGAAGCATTTCAAATTTCTAATAGCACTTTCTCTATCCAGGGAGCCTCCACATTGCACGGAAATGTAAAAGTAAAAAAGGACAAGAAGTACCACATCGATGATACCCCTGCGCTGGACGTTCTTAATGATCTCGATTCGAGTAACACCTACGACATTCCAACCAAAAACGAGCCCAGTCAAGACCCGATTTGCTGCATTTCCACATCCGAGAGTCTACTGCTCATTGGCCGTGAATCTGGATTGATTCACGAGTACACTCTACCACATTTGGTCCTGCGGAACCGTCACTACTTGCAAACGAGAGGCTACAAAATGGCTATCAACTGCAACTCGACACGTGCTGCACTGATCGATTGCAATGGAATTTTAACAACGGTAGCTTTGCGGGAAAATTTGGATGACAGTCAAGCGATGGAGGGACGAATCGAACGAAAAGATGTTTGGGCGATTTGCTGGGCACGAGATAATCCCCAGTTGTTGGCCATCATGGAGAAAACCCGTATGTACATCTTACGTGGCCCAGATCCTGAGGAGCCAATCACCTGTTCTGGATATATTTGCAATTTTGAAGATTTGGAAATTACTGGCGTGCTTTTGGACGAAATCATAAAGGGAAACGCCATCCCGAATGTTAAAGAACATATTCTGCAACTGAGAGTAAAATCCTTGAGGGATACGGAAGATTTGCTATCTCACGTGGGAATTACAGAGGCTAAACAGTTCATTGAAGACAACTCGCATCCACGTTTGTGGAGATTACTGGCTGAAGCGTCTCTGAAAAAACTTGATTTGGAAACGGCTGAAGCTTCTTTTGTGCGCTGTAGCAATTATCCCGGCATACAGTTGATCAAAAGGCTCAATAGCATTCAAGTTGAAGCTCTTCAGAAAGCTGAAATATGTGCTTTCTTTGGAGAATTTGATGAAGCTGAAAAACTTTACATCGATACAGATAGAAGAGATTTGGCGATTACGCTGAGGCAAACTCTATGTGATTGGTTTCGAACAGTTCAACTCTACAGAATGGGCCCTGGAATATCAGATCAACAAATGGAACATGCATGGAAAGAAATTGGACACCATTTCATGAACATGAGAGCTTGGGAGAGTGCCAAGGAATATTACGAAAAGGCCCACTACATTGAAGGTCTCATGGATACTCTTTACCATTTGGAACAATATGATGAATTGGTGGGTTGCATGCATAAGCTTCCCGAAAAGAGTGCACATCTTGCGAAGCTGGGTCAAATGTTGGCAACGGTGGGAATGTGCGAGCAATCTGTTGCTGCTTATATGAAGCTTGGAGATGTCAAATCAGCTGTATCTACTTGCATAGGTCTTCGCCAGTGGGGATTGGCTGTAGAACTTGCTCAGAAATACAAAATGCCTCAGATAAGTGCATTGCTCAGCAAACATGCTGCACATCTTCTCCAAGAAGGAAAACTGCCGGAAGCTATAGAGCTTCAGAAAAAAGCGGGTCGCTTCCTGGATGCTGCCAGGTTGTTAGTTAAAATGGCAGAAAGTGAGTCGGAGAAGAAATCTGACTTTGTTAGAATCAAACAATTATATGTTCTCTCCGGTTTACTAGCGGAAGAACACATTGAAAAACAGATCTCACTAACAGGAGGAAACAGAGCTTCAGTGCTATCACAGATGAATCCGGAAGACTCTGTTTTGATTGAAAACATCTGGCATCACGCTGAAGCCTATCACTACATATTGCTGGCTCAACGTCAGCTTCGATCCGGTTTATTGCATAGTGCAGTAATAACAGCCTTACGTTTAAGGGAATACGAGGACGTGCTGGACGTGGAATGTTTGTATTCCCTATTAGCGTTGGCCAGCTGTGCTGACCGATCTTTTGGTAACTTATTGAACAATTTCTTCACACAGATCACACAGAATGGAAAATGCTAAACTTTTTTTTTCAGGTACCTGCTCAAAAGCATTCATCAAACTGGAAGGTCTTGAACACATCCCGGAGATTCGTCGACAACAGTTTGAGGAGCTGGCCATTAACATCTTCTCGCGTTACGATCCTAAAGATGGTAAATCGAAGAGTGTGACCTGTTTTACATGCGAAACTCCAGTTGCTGATTGTAGTACGCTTTGTCCGAACTGCGGCAGTCACTTTCCACCGTGCACTGCTTCTGGACAGCCGTTGACTAATCCGACCGGGGCATGGCAGTGCTCGACGTGCTACCACGTTGCAAACCCACTGGAAATTACCGCACGGAAGACTTGCCCACTCTGTCATACGACGATCGTCACCAAAGGAATTGTGGAAGTTTAAGCCTTGGTGAAAAAATTTCCTTTTCTCACAAATAAAGTTTGCAATTGCACTTTGAATAATTTGCCTTTTTTTCTTTATAAAACGAGGGTACTTTGAAAGCCAAAACACGAAAGGCTAAAATTTGGAATCAGAAATGTGTTCGGTTCTATGTGCTTAATTTTCAATAGTTCTTATATGAATTCTAAATCATGGCGTAATAATAATCGAAATCCATTAATAAATGATCAATTTATAAGCGTTGTAAAACCTAAGCGCTATGGACCAGAAATTAAAATTTCGCGACACAAACCAAAATTAAATCTTCAAACCAATTGGCATTTTGCTGCCACTCAGATGTCATACCTAGCACCGACCTGAAACGCGTCAAACCTACGTGACACTTTAAATCACATAAAAATGTCGAAGTCTAGTTCAACGGTAGCCATATCAAGTGGCCAAGACCACATTGACTACATCATTAGAAAACAAGTTCATGTTTCTCGAGCCCTCAGTGAAGTTGACACATTCTTACAACATCCATCATGCGATGCATCAAATCACATGAACATTCCATACCAACATAATTGTTAGCTCCTTGAACTCTGTAAGATTTTAGGTTGGGTTTATTTTTTCAAAAATTGATCACTTTTTCATGTGCTCATTAATGTACAGGGTGAGTCAATTGATCTGCATCTGTATTTTTTTCCTTGATTTGTTTTCCGTTGATATTGTTTCCGTACTGAGTACCAATGCTACCGATGTCAGGGAGGCAGCTCCATTACCTGGACTCTACCTATCGACCCATCCACTCAGACCGAGGACCAACGGATTTACTTCCCTTCCGAAGAAAAGCATGATCAGAGATGTTATGCCTCAGAGAATACCAACGGCGCCAACTGGGATTGAACCCAGGCCTTTTGGAGTGAGAGGTAGCAACTAAACCACCGGCGCCGCTATCAACTGTATTTTCACGAAATCTCAATATTTTTCCTGTGATTTTTTTTAATGGTAACCAGTACAATTATGATTATGATTTAAACGTATTCAAAACTATTACATTAAAACAATTCAGTCAAAGCATGACGACAAAAAAGTGTAAGTTCGGACAGTGTAGTAAATTGTAATTGTAATTTATCAGCACACACCCTGGTCGACCACTGTAAACCAATCTGCCGTTAAGCGAGTGTGTACCTACTGAAACCTGGCCGTAGGCCTATGCTAGACCGTATAGCATAACGACCTTCTTCCACTAGCAGGCCTGTTTCTGTTTGCACAGACAGTCCCACTAGTTTCCGATACATTTATAGGGGATAGTAGGAGATTAAAAGAATTGAGAAGAGTTATAGAGGTTTTTTTGTTGTTGTTTTGCTGAAAAGAGAGAAACAAAACTAAACGAAATTACACCTGCTGAAAAAAGATAAGTCTATTATTTTGGTTAGTGATCGTTTGGATTTGGGTCACCCCACGTTGTATTTAGGTTAGTATAAATAAATAATACTATATAGTAATATAAATCACCACAGCTCATTATCTTCAGCGTTATCGGTTTTTGTTTCTGGATCTTTAGTTGCCTCTGTGATATACTTATTTGCGGCATACTATTTTGGGAGTGTATATGAGCGTGTACCATGTACGGTAGCTCATCTCTCATCGTGATGGTGGGACATAGTAGACAAATTAGAGAGAAAACAAGGAGGTATTAGTATTAGTTATATGTAAACAAACAAAACAAAAGAAGAGAAGAGGAAAGAAGAGCAGAAAAATAAAAGGGGATACAGTAGATAACAAAGAAAAGAAACGTAGGCAGATTATTAGAAAAGGCATTATCCGAGACTCAGCAATCAAATGTCACTCCCGCCGAGATCTCAGCGAAACCCCCTCCCCGCCGAGCTCGGTAGAAAAAACTAAGTGTGTAGATAGATTAGTAGGAAAATAAATAAAACTACTTTATGACTCAAAGTGCAATGAATGAGCGTTAGTTTCGGGATCATTTCAGTGTAAGAGTTATGTTAGTTTTGATCCGTAATCAGCCCTGCCGACCCCTCAACATTAGTTGCAGGCAGTGGTTGTTAGATAATGCGGCACTGTAATTACTACTATTTTAGAGGTATGATTCGTCAAGTTTATACAACTCAATGTTTCAATTGAGGCAAACTATCTATCTAACAATTACAAAAGCAAACCTAAACTTACAATTATATGCAAATGCAAAATGAAACTTGACAAATCATCGTCAATCCCCTTATTCCAGGGCAGGGCCTGACGATTTGAATATAATTTTGATCAGTGAACGGGCACCATATGGTACATTTTCTCACCATGAACCTATCATTTCCAGCCTATCTGAACTATTTAATAAATGGAAGCCATAACATGGGTTACGCTCCCCCTAAGCAGGCCCTGCGCATCCTGTCTCTGTCTTATCTCAAATACAAAATACCAATGGTATGAATGTATCTATATATAACTTGGAAATGACGTACAATCAAATAAACCCGTAGCCCACTCACTTGGTCAGGCTTCAGAATCGTCCAATGGGCAGTGCGCTCTACACGCCAAGTTACCTTTTTTTCAAATTTACCGCAATTTTGATATTTTACCCATTGAGTGTTGATTAGTCACAATGAAACATTGTGACAGAAGTTGAGGTTACTAGTGTATTAAATAATCTAGGTCCTATTTAGGATTATATCTGAAAAATCCAAATCTGGCCAACGCCCACCCTAAACCTAAACCTGTTCTAATCCACCTGAAATGACTAACGAATGGAAGACTTTGACTACCCAGCCATGCAATAGTCTCATTCCGTGCCTTATGGCAACTTGATGATTCTATTGCGCTCATCTTCTGGCACCACCCAGGGGAGACTTGGTCCTGTACCCAATGCTTAACTTATCTCCATTCCACTCAGCTACTCGCAATTTCTTGTGATATAGTGGGCGGAATATTATTATCTGAGACAATTCAATGCAGACGTCTTTCCAAATTTGGCAGATCGACAGGTAATCGGTGATTTTCCACGATAGTTGCTATTCAACAACTCGACAACGTACCATCGTCAACGCCTGCTATGAGAATTTCCCATTGCAGATGCCAACAAAATGACGTCATCGAGCTATCGATCAACTACCCTGGCTATCGCCTGGTACCTTATAGCACGATGCTAGGAGACGAACCGGAAGAATCGATGAGCTACCTCCCCCAAGTTCGGACAGTGTAGTAAATAAAATAAAAACCTGATCAAGGTGGAAGATCTCTAAACTTCTCTCGAAAGTTCTGTGAAATTCTCGAACGTTTCGGAACTTTGCGCGAGTTCTCTAAAATCCCAAAAATTTTCTGAATATCTCGGAATTTCTCCAAATAAAAAAAATACCGTACTTCTAAGAAGTTGCAAGAGCATCCGAGATATTCATAAAACTTTCGAAATGAACTTCTCTTAACTTCTAACAAGTTCCCCAAATTTAGCGGAAGATATCTACACTTCTCAGAAGTTCTCCAAACTTCTCGGATGTCAATTTAAATCTCGAATGAACTTTAATACGCCGATTTCGGCGTATTAACCAGCTACCAGAAAGTTTGTCACGGCTTGTTCCCAATCGAAACGTTCTTCTGCGGGTTCCAAGGTGTTTTCATCATCTTCATCATCTTCCTGGACAATCCGATCGGCTGCAACAAATAAATTCAGAAAACTTATACGTATCTTATTCGGAGGGAGCAGCAAGTGATTGAAAATGTCGGCAGAATATGGAATCCCACAACGGACTTTTCCGCAACATCATATTATCCCTATTTCATGTTCCATGTTGGCCAAAAAACTTGTTGCTTATTTAGGATGGATGATGTTTCTGTAAGGGGGTCTCATAGCCTAGTCAGTAAAGGCACGGTATTACCAAGCTGGAGGCGGCGGGTTCGATTCCCGGTCCGGTCGAGGGAATCTTTCGGGTTGGAAATTTTCTCGACTTCTCTGGGCAATAGAGTATCATTGTGCATGCCACACAATATACAAATTCATGCATTGGTATTGGCATCGAAAGCTCTCAATTAATAACTGTGGAAGTGCATTTAGAACACTAAGTTGAGAGCACGCAAAAAGCTAATATGCGCTAAGCAATAAGCTTGAAATGCGAACAAGAAGAAGAAGAAGAAGAAGATGTTTCTGATTATGCGGTTCTTCTGGATGAACTTATCGTAGAAATTTTTGTTAAATTCTCATCGGAAGATTTCTGATTTTTTCGTCTGATCTTCTCAGAAGTTCTCTGAACTTCTTCATTGATGCTCGTTGAATTTTTCCTCGGAAGCTTTGAACTTCTCGACGGAAGTTCTCTGGTCTTCTCCTAGGAAAACTACCTCTCCTTGACAGTTATCTGAACTTTTCTTCGGAAGTCCTCTGGACTTTTTCTCGGAAGCTCTGTGAACTTCTCCTCGGATGTTTTGTGAACTTCTCGTCGGACGTACTATGAATATCATGTCAGAAGTACTAAGAGCTTCTAGTCGAAAAATCTCTGAATTCCTCGTCAGAACTTCTCTGGACTTCTCCTCGGAAATTCTATGGACTTCTCGTTGGAAGATCTCTGAACTTATCATCGGAATTTCTCTTTGGAAGTTCTCTGAACTTCTCATTGAAAGTTCTCTGAACCGTTCGTCGGAAGTTCTCTAAACTTATCATCGGATTGTTAGTGATGAGTTAGTGAGTTTTAGGGCGAGGACTTGTTAGTGACTTATGGGTGAGTGTTTTGGACTGGTTGGCATATCGTTATTTGAAAAGTACTCAAGAGAGGTGCCACCTGACAATGCAAACCTGTTAGATTATTAAGACAGAGATGCTCTATATATGACGGTAAATGTCAGGACTCTGATGATCCGGGAGGGGTTGAAGATCCTGGAATAAATACTCCTTCTAGATCATTTATAGATCATCTCTCTCTTATTAATGGAATATTCCTACGCTGTCAAGTGGCACCTCTCCTGCGTACTCTTCAACGAGATCCAGTGATTTGATGACCAGTCCAAAATACTCACCCTCAAGTCCACGGAAACACCAACAAGTCCGA